AAATTCACTGTAAGGGAGATAATATGTTGCAGAATTTTTTTTACAGTTTCAGCAAACAATTTTAAACTCGGAGAAGTTACTAGCAGTAATGATTTTCCTACAAACGCTTCATTTTTAGATATTACAGAAACTTTACGAAAAAGAGAGGGCTTTGGCATAAGTTTGAGGAGTGATTTTTCTGTTCGTCAGTGTGTGTGTGTGTTGCCTATCATCTTATACCTTGAAAACTTTTCCTATGAAAATACAATGTATATGTATTTCTGATTGGAGAAGTCATTAGAGACGCAGAGAAATCGGGAAAAAGAACACAAAAAGGATAGAAATAAGTGCTTCCGATTTCTTAGCCTCCCTCCCTTTAGTTTTGGTAACTATGGACAACAAAACGGACCTTCTTTATGGACAGGAAGCACTTCTTTTGGAAAAAAGAGCAAGAATTCGTGAAATTCTGGAGCAAAAAAAAACGGAAGTACTAAGTTTTTCGAGAACTTTCTAGGTCGCTGTAATAAAAGAATGGAAATTCGGGAAAAAAGAACCATATAAAAATCAAAAACAACGGAATTCGGTGACGCCGGAATAAATGAAATGAGTCATTTTCTGTCATGAAAAATTCCATTCTGGAAAAACATTTTGGAAAAAATTTACTGTTTCGAAATTATTGAATGAACTTGATTTTCGAGGAAGGCGAAAAAAAAATTAAAAAACTGGAAAATTTAAAAAAAAACTTTTGATCCAAAGTTTGTGATTTTTCTTAAAGGTGGGGGACATGAAAAAAATAATGTTCTCGAAATTCCGTTCAAAGATGCCCTCAAGGAGTTGAACTTGTGAGGGTGAGGATTGAGGGTGCGGCGCCGCTACCGACTGAGCCACGCGGGCAAAGAGAAAGCGCACGCCCGATTGCATACATAAAGGCGAGGACGACAGCTGTACGCAGAGTGACATTAAGCGTTGTACACCGTTACGGTAGAATGCATACTCTAGCTACAAAAAAACTACGGAAAATCTCCTGTCCCCTCACCTTTAAAGCTTTTTTATGAGAAATGTTTCATTGAGTTATAAAAAATCTGTCAAAAATAGACTATTGTTGAAAAGGAAAAAAAAATATTGTAAAAGTAAAAAAATCTAAATTTTGAATTGCGGTTTAATTTATAATTTTGTGCAATAAATCTAAACTTTTTTCAAAATTTAAAATCTCAAAAACATTAACTATTCTAATATTTGTATTTGGAAAATTAAAGGAAAAAAAATTATTTTTAAAAAATATTTTTCTTTTATTTACAGTTTCACAAAGTTTACAAAATAATATACTTTGAAATTTTAAATAATTGAGTTCACCAAATCAGAAAAATTCTTACCGAAATTCCCAAAAATTGAGAAAAAAGAGCATTTTCTAAATTGAAAAAAAACCGGTAATTCAAAACTCTTTGAAAATTTTGGAAATCTGGAGGAAAGTAAAAATTAATGAATTTTCAATCTCCAAGTATTACGTTTTCAAAGAGTTTGAAAATCAGTTCCTCTAAAAAGCTTCAGTAATATAAAAGAATTAAAAATTAAACCAAAACTCCTACAGAAAATTGAGTAAAAAGGTACATAGGTTCTCCTTTTTCCCTATTCTATTCTTCCATGAATCCAAAAATTCGGCCTGAACAAATATGGAAATGATGGATGGTGTAAAACTGGAAAAACGGGGGGAGACTCAACAGAATGAAATATGTTAATAAAAATGGAGAGAACGAGAAAGAGTCAGAAAAAGGGACCGAAATAAGGTAAGAAAAAGAATAATTGGGGGAGCAAGAAGTTAGGGAAAAACTCTAACCGTCTGCGTCTCTTTCTCACTCACCGGGTTTCTAGGCTTCCTCTCTGCGTATCCCTGGTTTAATATGTCTGCGTCTCTTGGATTCTAGTGATCTCTCGTTTTTCGAGTATTATGATGAGGGAAAACGAGGGAGAAAAGGTGAATTGACCCTCACACTTGATCCGGTAGGCTGGTCATGGTGTAACAAACAATGGAGTTGAGAAGAGAATGAAAATAGGAGAAGAGAAGGAATGGACACACAGACACACAGACAGAAACC